CCTGAAGTCCTCTGGTTTATTTATTTACGTATTTTTCTGAGACAGAGTCTCGCTCTGTTGCCCAGGCTAGAATGAGTGCTGTGACATCGGCCTACCTCACAGCAACCTCAGACTCCTGGGCTCAAGCAATCCTCCTGCCTCAGCCTCCCGAGTAGCTGGGACTACAGGCATGCGCCACCATGCCCAGCTAATTTTTTCTATATATATTTTTAGTTGTCCAATTAATTTCTTTCTATTTATAGTAGAGACGGGGTCTCACTCTTGCTCAGGCTGGTCTCGAACTCCTGACCTCGAGCAATCCACCCGCTTCGGCCTCCCAGAGTGCTAGGATTACAGGCGTGAGCCACCTCGCCCGGCCTGTTTTATTGTTTAATGTAAGAGGAACCCCCAAAGCCCAGCTCCTGATGGCGATGCTGGGTCCCGCCCCTCCCCCATCTCTCGGGTCTGGGGCCCCTCGCTGAAGGGGGTTTGAGGCTCAGGCCTGGCTGGGGCTGGTGGGAGCCTGGGGGCTCACTGTTGTGACACTGTGGGGCTCCAAGTGGCTCTATTCTGCCTCTAGGATCACTAAACCCCTTGGCCTGTCTCAGCACGTGTGTGTGACGTATGTGTGTGTGTGTGTGACATGTGTGTGCGTGTGTGTGGCGTGTGTGTGCGTGTGTGTGACGTGTGTGTGCGTGTGTGTGGCATGTGTGTGCGCGTGTGCGAGCTAAGCCACCGCCTGGCCGGACTCCGCCTATGGAAGTTGGAAGCAAACCCGGAAGTTGGAAGCAAACCCGGCTGCCCCCCGACCCCACCCCCAGCCGGCCCAGGCTCAGCAGTGAAGGGGTTTTGGGGACGCTGAGAGAGGACCCCGGTGGGATGGTGGGTGGGCAGAGGAGGGAGGCAGTGGCAAAGTTGTTCCGGCCTTATTTATATAGACGGAACCAAGTTTAGACCTTAGAGCTAATCTTCCAAAGAGGTTAGGGGCAGAGTCTTAGAGAGTCACTGAATTAAAAGAAGACACTTGGCCGGGCGCAGTGGCTCACACGTGTGTAATCCTAAGCACTCTGGGAGGCCGAGGAGGGAGGATCGCTCTCGAGGTCAGGAGTTTGAGACCAGCCTGAGCAAGAGCGAGACTCCGTCTCTACTAAAAATAGAAATAAATTAATTGGCCAACTAAAAATATATAGAGAAGAAATGAGCCAGGCCTGGTGGTGCATGCCTGTCGTCCCAGCTGCCCGGGAGGCTGAGGCAGGAGGATCGCTTGAGCCCAGGAGTCTGAGGTTGCTGTGAGCGAGGCCGATGCCACGGCACTCACTCTAGCCTGGGCAACA